TCTATCTGAGATGCTGTTTTGAATGTGCGATAACTTTTTAACCGTAGCTCGGATTGCAACGATTCTGGACATTTTAGTAAGCTTATATGTAGCTCTAAATTACGGGATTGAAACAGACCCTAAGTCCAGAAAGCATTTTAGATGGAATTAAATGCACTTGGCTATCTGGTTTGTAAGTCCATAACCAGAATGCAGTCCCAAACAGTTCCAGGTTTGGTTATTGAACCAGAAGGTGCTTTGGCAAAAGGTGATAAACATGTTAGCTACAGATTTTGCACATTTATTATGGAACCATACTAAAGCCCATACATATATATGATTTGGCAAAAGGTGATAAGTACTCTACATACACATACAAACACAGACACACACACATACAACACTCTGCAGCTATTTATCATTAACCAAAAAGGGAAGTACAAACACATATGCACACACAGGTTAAGCCACCATGCCAACATTGTAAAGAGTCCATCATTTGAAAGAGGGGTGTATGAGGGGCTCACATGGCTAATTACTACTGCTGGTTCATCTCCAAAGAGTCCATCACTTGAAACATTAAATCACTGTCTATAAATATATGTACAAATACATATGCACACACATGTGAACACAGTTATTGACATTCAAACATAGTGAACACAGTTACAAAAAGGCAGAATTATGGTATGTGTTTGTGTTTTGTTTTTCTCACATTTCGATTTGCAGCAGGCTGTTGCTGCTGCTGTTTGCCAATACACAGGGGTTTGTATGCTTTGGCAAACAGACATTGTGCACACAACAACTGTCTATGTGTGTGTGTGTCTATCTATATCTATGTCCTTGTGTGTATGTTCTATTTTGTGTTCCACTTAAAACAAAAACAAGTTGTTTCTGTTTCTTAAACCTGGTGATTTTGGACAATATCAATTTGGCAGCCAACCATCTATCTTATGCTGCCAATTAGAATGTACCAATCTGTATTAAAATCCCAAATGGTTTACTTACTTTGCAGATGCTTGACTACAATRTACCTGGAGGGAATAATAGTTCCTCTATTTCCTTTCAATTGTTTGAGTGCAAATAATTTTATTGTATAGAAAGCAATATGATGGTTAGTTACTTCAAAGTGATATGATGGTATTTGCTAACATGTACAAAGAGGCTAGCACATATTTGAAAACTTGAACCARAGTTATATGTTTAACCACTGAAAGTTCATTTCCACCAAATACTATGTAGAATCAGAGTTAACTGGATAGCTGTTCATATTAAGTTACCAACCAGAATCAGAGTYAACTGGATTATGGCATTTGTTCATATTAAGTTCCACCAAATACTCTGTGTGTGCTTCTTATCCCCCACACCAAATATGCTGATGTCCTTATTTTTTGTTGGATGGGTTAAATATGGAAAAAATTGAAGTACCTGCAAACACACAAAACTATTTCAACAGTCGGCATGGCAGCTGGTGGCCTCACAAACGATGCCTGATAAGATGTATCATATTGATATGAGCATCTGGGCCTTGCTATTCCCTACAAAGATATAATGGAAAGAAATATCAACTCTAGTTTTTGTAATTCAGTTGAAGCATATGTGATATCCACACACTTATTTGTTTAAAAGAGGAGAAAATAGACCTTTTTTAGATAAAATCTCATAATACCCTGTGTTTTCTTTCTCCTGTATAAGCAAAAGAATATTCATCAGCTGATTGTATTTAAATGAAGTGAATAATTGACATTATCGATATAAACATATTACTAATATTTGAATTTTTTGGATATAAGCAGACAAGCAAAGGGCATAGAAAGAAAATATCAACCTTTARTTATCTTAATATCGTAAGTTGAGATTACTTTACCCATAAAAAGTAGCTTCATGAAGAAAAGATACCTATTTTTTTCCAGTTCTTGCCATTGAATTGCTGAACAGCTTTACATAACGTATAARGGGGCATTCTTCATCATTTCAGAACCATAAATTAGAAACTAAGGCCAATAGTCTAAGGTATAAGGTTTTATGTCTATGAGATTGAAAGGGGACAACCCAATGCATAGTTTGGAATAATCTACATACTTGCAGAACTTATCGTATCTTCCTTTTTATGTGATTTATCTTCACTTAATAAAGTTCAGGGTGGCATCAATGGAGAATGAGACCATAAGAACTCAATAGTAATGATTCAAGTATTAAGAGAAGGTTTATGAATCTGCTTCAAAAAGAAATACTAAGAAACTTAAACATCTTGTATGTGTGCATCAATATTCAAAAATCAAAAAACAATTTAGACCGTAACATATGAATTGAACCAAAATCAATAAAAAAATAAACTCATAATCGATTCTAAACAAAACTGAAGACCAAAATTGAATGGAATTCAAAATCACCTCAAAATTTGGAAATCTTAATCAAAATTGAAATTGAAATCGAAATCAATAGGGTTTTGAAGAGCATACCTCCAAATTAAAATTGAAATGGAAATCTCTAGGTTTTGAAGAACCTGTGAAATTAAAACATCATGGAGGAGGGAGTGATATGTATCGGTTTGATACATGAAATTGTTTTTAAAGACTGTGAGAGAAGAAAGCAAATTGGACATCTGTTCGAGGTGATACATCAAAACCACAATGTGAACCTGTTCCCGGTGAGTCAAGGAAGAAAGCATCTCTGTTATACCCAAATTTGTTTGAGCGCATATGAGACACTGATATAAGAATCTGCAGAAGACTGTAAGGGAGAAAGCACGTTTGAAAGCTTCCGATTAAGTTTTGGAGTTGTGGGTTTAAAACCCTTGCACAAAGAACTTGTACCTTATGCATGATATTTGGTAATTAAGAGTTTTTTGAATTTCTTGCATAAAACGATTGTAACTTATGTTTTAGAACTTGTAATTAAGATATTGATGTAAATGGTTATATATGTAGTATAGATCATTAAAATTTAAAAAGACTTTTATCCACTTTACCTCAACAACTCAAATAAATCTCACGAAAAAGTCTAGTTTATTTGTCTAAAATTGCGATTTTAGTTGTATGATTTTTGAATTTATGTTTAGTTCTATATTGTAATCAAATACATTGTTTGTAATTTGTTCGACTATGTTTGAGACATTTAAACTTACTTCTTTAAAAAATTGTAATTTACGTTTAATTGTGAAAATTAACATATTGTAATTTTTTCCCTTAATGGGTTCTCCAACGGGAATAAGGGAAACCGCGGGGACCTGATGAGGATCCCCGATAAGATCCCTGACGGGATCGGAGCGGTTATGGGGACGGTTTTAGCTATCGGTTTCGGGGACGGGGATACCAATACCCGGCCCGAACTCGGCCCATTGCCATTCCTATGTTCAATAACTGTGAATATATATATATATATATATATATATGTAAATTGAGTAAATTAACATAATGTGATATACGCAAGAAGTATGGATAAGTTGTATCAAATGGTTGATGATGAAAAAGAAATTATGAGCAGAGAAATAACATATTCAAGGTTAGAAGAATATTTTAATGTACCAAAGTATAAACCCGACCAACCGGTACAGGTTAGGTTGGGTTGGGTTGGGTTAAGATTTTTCAAACTGTAAGAATCGGGTTGGATTGTTCAAATATTTTCAACCCGATCAACCCAACCCATGAGCACCCCTAATTTGTCCTACTGATGAGGTAGCCTAAGTTTTTGTTTATCAAATGTTATGCTTACCTGGGTAAGCGCTTTTCAAGTCATACTATCTTACCAGATAATTATGGTAAGAACCAAGAATCTTACCTGATAAAAGCGAGAGTTTTACCCGATAAGTGATGACAACAACTCTTACCACGTTTAACGTTTACCGGGTAAATTGTTACATACAATGTCTTTTTGGTGGATTAAAATCTTACCCGTTAAGTAAAGCGTTAATGTTGAATTTTACTGATAAACGCTTACCGTATAAATGTTTAGGTAATACCCAAAGTTATTTGTATGGCTGAAGTTTATATTTCTTTTTTAATCCCTCTCCCACTCTTACAATTTAAGTGAAATGTTAAGTTTGTCTTGAAAAGGTTAATAAGATTATGTCATAGAAGCAAATGACAATTAACGTCATACGTATATCTTGAAGAAAATTTTAGAGATCAAATTGAGACAAAATGGTTACGCCTTATGATTCTAATATGTTGAGACTAGTTGTGTACCTATGTAATGTGGTGGGAGCCGTGAATTTTAACGATTTTGAAGTTTCACTGATTTTATTAGAGAATATTTAACGATGATATAAGATACACTTGGTCTTTACATATTAATACAATTTGAATAAATAAAAGTTAGGGTTCCAATTACAGTCTATCGATGAAAAAAAAATTGTATGACAATTTAAAATCCAATATATTTATAATCCAACATATTTAAACGACTCCACAAATGTGTTCGATTTACACCAAAAACAAAGAATCAAGAGATCGAGAGCGAGACTGAAAGTTCTAGAGCAACTGAATGAGAGATGAATGAGATAATTTTTTATAACTCAAGGTGAATTTAATTTTGAATCTCACCTTGGGGAATGAGAAGAAGACATAGAGGTATGAGAGGGTGAGTGCATGATTGAAATGTGTCAAAAGTATCTTGGGAACATGAAAAGAAAAAGTAATAATGTGCATTGCTAACTTGTACTATATGTTATTTTAATTGTAGATTAAAAGATTTTAAGACTGAATGCATAAAGTAGTAGTACTTAATGCATTATGAGTTGTTTTTAATACTTTTAAGACTTTGTGCATAAATGTATAATATTTTGTGCATTAAAAATTGTTTTTAAGACTTTTGATAAATCTGATTTATAAGGTAATATAGATAAGCAAATATAGTGATTAAGTTTGATGCGAATAATGTAAGACTTGGTGAAATTTCATGTGATACCAATTAAGAACGCTTAAATAAAGTTTTTTAAAGCTGATGTACAAAAAAAAGTTGTCATCCTACTTTGCAAAGGTTAATAAGTATTGAATTTTAAGAGGTATAAATTTCAATGCACATTTTATAGGTTATTTAATTTATTTTATTTAATTTTTTTATTTTTTATTTTATACCTTATCATATTAATATTAATAATTATATATGAACTAAAATACATCAAAAAATATGTTTCTTTTTATATAAATAATACTTTATAATCTTCTCATCAGTACCTTCAAAATGAGTGAAAATTGTGGACTTAATCATATTATTAAACAACATGAATATGTAGTAAATTATTTTAAAACTTACATTTTTATACCTTGTAGTTATTTATTTAATTTGTTTTATATCTCTTACTTTTTCATTTTTTATTTTACACATTTATCATAATCAAATACATAATCATATACCAATTATGGGGCTGTTTACCAAACGCTTACTCGGATAAGTGAATAGTTCACCAAGTCACATTACCTTACCGGATGAATATGGTGAGGACCGAGGATCTTACTCAGTAAGAGTGAGATAATGACCAAAAATCTTACTATGATAAGCACTTACCGGGTAAATTGTTGCATACGATACTGTTTTGTTGGACTAAAATCTTATCCGGTAAGTAAATGATAATGTTAAATTTTACCGATAAGCGTTTGTCAGGTAAGTGTTTATTAAATACATTAAAAATATGTTTTTTACAAATTATATTATTATTATCGTCTCGTCAATATCTTCAAAATAAGCTCAATATTAAATATTTTTGAATTTAATAATATTATAAAATATCATAACTTTGATTCATTATTTGAATTTGAAATAATATTTAACTTTGGCTTCTTTCTTTAGATTTGAAATATCATTTAACTTTAGGTTCCATTGCTATTGTAAATGTGATTGCATTTTAATTATAAATTTTGGAGTTCATAATAAACATAAACATCATATCCTTGATCTACAAAAAAAAGTAAAATACATTAAGAAAATAAGTTTATTTTTATACAAATTATACCATTATAATTGTCTTGTTGTTAAGACCTTCAAAATGAACTCAATATTGAATATTTTTGGATTTAATTCTATTATTAAATATCATCAATATGTACGGATTATTTTTAATAATTATATTTTATCTACACTTCTTTATAAAATAACACTTATGGTTATGTTATGAATTTTTAAGAGGTGTAAATTAATATACATGTTTTAAAACAACCTATATTGAGTTATTTACCCACTTACCCTATTAACAACCTCACCTGCACATTTAGGGGTGTACAAAAAACCGTCAATCTGCAAAACCCGCCTAACCCAACCCGCTAACAACCCAATTAAACCCAACCCGCCTACCCGCCAAACCGCTAACCTGCCAATTAGGAGGGTTGAAATTGGATTGAGCCTAGCTCAACTCGCCCAACCCACCGCTAATATATAATTTTTATAAAATTTTATTTATATATATGTGTGTTTATTATGCATATATATTATTAATGTATAAATTTTATATAATTTTTATTGATATTATATTTTGTTTCATTTTAACTGAACATATAAGTTACCAAAAGAGATTTACGATCAAAGAATGATGACAAATAATCTAATTAATAAGGAAAATTATTGATTTTTTTTGCAGCAACAACAAATTGATATGTTAGAAAATACGAATGATATTGACAGATATTTGTTGGACGAATCCATCAAACTATGACGCTTTTAAAGAGTTACATTAGAAAAATGTCTT